AGTACAGATTAAATTCTATAAATTTGTGATTGTGGTTTTAATTCTTATAAAAGTTATAGCTATCAGAGATGTGGCTATACTAAAAGTTTACAGATGTTGTGTCCATTTCATAGAAAAATAAAATAAAATTTTAATGGAAAGTAGGGATCATTGGTTATTCGTAGAATTGCCATAAGAAGTATCTAAAATAAAATAAATGCTGCAACAAAAAGTGAAAAATAACAACTAAAGTGATACTAGTTGGATAGATTTTAAAACGATTTTCAATCCCTAATTTGGTTGGCATTATGATCCGTATAGCTAAATGAAGCAGACTGAATTTGACAACAAAGTAGAGATTAAAAATCGTTTTAAAATATATCCAACTACTATCACTTTACTTGTTTGTGTATTTTTTATTGCAGCATTTATTTTGTTTTGGATACTTATTATATCATTCCTATGAATAACCAACGATCCCTACTTTCCGTTAAAATTTTAATTTTCTTTCCTATTTATTAAAGATATAATTTTAGTTTTCTTGTGCAGGTAACTCAATAAAAATGTGATTTCAGTTTTTCTTTCAATGGGTAAGAGAACTAAAATATAGTTTCAGTTCTCTTCAATAGATAAACAACCTGAAGTATTGTTTCAGTTTCAGTAGAATAAGAAAGTTGAATTATAGTTTCAGTTTTCATCAGTGGGTAAGAAAGCTGTATTATAGTTTCAGTTTTCATCAGTAGGTAAGAAAGCTGTATTATAGTTTCCGTTTTCATCAGTGGATAAGAAAGCTGTATTATAGTTTCCGTTTTCATCAGTGGGTAAGAAAGCTGTATTATAGTTTCAGTTTTCTTCAGTAGAATAAGAAAGCTGGTGTATAGTTTCAGTAGTTTTTTTTAGTGGCTATTAAAGATATATTTTTTGTTTTCTTCAGCAGGTAAGACAGTGAAAGCATGATTTCACTTTTTGTTTCAGCAGATACGAAAGCTGAAGTATAGTTTCAGTTTTCACCAGCAGATGTAACAGATATAATTTTAGTTTTCTTAAGTAGGCAAAACATTGAAAGTGTGATTGAAAGTTAATATGACTTCAATTTTTTTACAGTTGGTAAGACAGCGAAAATGTAGTTCCCGTTTTCCCCAGTTCATATGACAGTAAAAGTATAGAGTCAGTTTTTGTTTCAATAGTTATTACAAAATAAGTATGCTCTCGGTGTTCTTCAGTCAATACGAAATGAAAAACATATTTCCAGTTTTCTCCAGTAGATATTACAGAGAAGCTATAGTTATATTTTTCATCCATAGAATACAACAGAAATATACTTTCATACTTTTTCATTGTATACACTAGTGAAGCATGATTTCACTTTTCTAGGTAGATATTATAGCAGAAATAATTATTCAAATTTCTCTGGTAAATAAACAACAGATGCATAATTTCACTTTCTTTAATAAATATGACTGATTCGTTAGATACTAAAGTAACAGTGTAGTTTTAGTTTTTATCAGTAATGATACAGTAGATATATAGTTCAACTTTTAATTTGTAGGCATCACAGTGTGAATGTAGATTCAGTTATATTCAGTAAGTAATGCAGTTGAAACGTTATAGTCTCAGTTATTTTCAATTGATATCGTAAAGGAAGTTTAGTTTCAGCTTTATTCAGTATATAAGATAGCGGAATTATAGACTAAGTTTTCATCAGTTAACCATGAAGTGAAAGTACAGATTTAAGTTTCTTCAGTAGATAAGACACCTGAAGTATAAATTCAGAGGTCTTTAATATAAATATCAACGAATGTATAGCCTTAGTTCTCTTCAGTAAAGATTCAGATTTATTCAGTGAATAATAAAACAATTATGTTAATTCAATTTTTGGCAGATATTACTACATAAAATTGTTTTAATTTTACTAACTGGATATAACGGAGGATTTACAGCTATTGTGGTTTCTCTAGTGCACTGATAACCTTTAGGTAAGAATAATAGAAGATACGACAAGAAATGTAATATGGGAGTAAAAACTGTATTTGTGACTTAACTGAATTGAAACAAACGGGATTCTTTATTTGCTTATAGTATAAATCTAATATAATGAGTTTACAATGATGAAAGGCAGCACCACTCACACTCTATCGAGAGATATTACAAGAAGAAGTTCTCGATCAGAGTAAGAAAGTTGAAACTGTACAGAAAAAATAATAATGGCGTTTCTCCCAGAGTACATGCACTATCCACGTCACCTGTGGTCATTTAATAAGTAAAAATAGGGAAAACATATTATCCAGGTATTCCTAAAACTCTTTATAACTGACCTCGTTATGGAGACCACATACTATACTCAACTACATAGTTCAACGCTAGCAAACAAGCCGCATACCTTAATCAATTTCTCTATTGTAAAACCTGTATAGATTCCGCACTGATGAGTACATGTGAAAACTTACGAAACATTTAGGTGAACTCGCTAAACCAAAGAAAAAGAAACATCTGGTATTTTTCATATACCATGTATTTTCTTCCCTTTACCTGCAGGCTAGTCTGGTCATCTGTAACCTTAAAGATTAAAAAAAACATGCACCACTTGTCCGCCCTCGGTAATTTTCATTTGCCCCTGTGAAACACTTATACAGCAAAACGGTAGACAAAAGAAGATAAGCATAACCTTTTAACAATGATATATATTAAAATTCACAGTATAATCATACTGAAAACTCCAAAGCAATTTCAAACAATTAACATTATAAGTGAAAAAAGCATAGAAAGAACGTTTCCAAAAATGACGTTTCTACACTTTCCTCGTTTATGGTTAACCTTATTAAATTGCATTAGGTTTCTTAGTATGATTATAATTAAATTAAAATAATATGATGCACATATTTCTTTCACTTCTAATAAGCTTTGGCAATTCATTACTTACACGCCACTTAGACATATACATTGTTTTTAAGGTTCATTTCTTTAATTTTTCACCTTTTGTTATGTCCTAGCTAGCTAATTATACATATTTTTATTGCTACTAGTCTGATTAAGCGTAAAAACAAACGTCATCTCACTTGTCATATCTTAAATACTAATAAATATCTCATACGAAGTAAGTTAAAAATGTTGATTTACCTTGTTACTTGTACAAAATGTAACCTTAAAATATATTGTTCCAACTTCTAATCCATTCCCTTTATGAATTG